GCATGAGGCCCTGGGTTTGATTCCTCAGCACCACATAAGCAAAAAGAAAAAAGCCGGAAGTGGCGCTGTGGCACAAGTGGTAGAGCGTTAGCCTTGAGCTGAAGAGCTGAGGGACAGCACCCAAGCCCAGAGTTCAGGCCCCACGACTGGACCCCCCCCCAAAAAAATTAGCTGGGAACGGGGTTCAGTGGTGGTTGAGGTAGGAGGATTGCTTGAATTCAAGGCCATTCTGGATAATAACACAATGTAAAAGTTGGGCCTGTACTGAATATGTACAGATTATTTCCTAGGATTATTCTCTATATAATACATGACAATGTAGTATAAAATCTTTACATTGTATTAAACATTATAAATAGCAGAGACTTTTATTCAAGGTCTCTGTATAGCCCTTTAACATATGATCCTCCTGCCTCAGTCTCCCAAGTGTTAGGACTATAAGTATGGATTACCATACCCAGCTTTGATGATTTTAAAGTCTACTTGAGAAAGTGTGAAGATTGATTGTAAATATTACATCCTGTGTATACAGGAGGCTTAAGCGTTAACAGACTTTTTGATATCTGTGACTCGGAACCATCATGTGAATATGCTAAGAGCTGACTTTTTTTATGGGCAGCTTTGGTTTCATGTAGTTGAATTTTGTGATCTAAGAGTTATGTACAATCATGAAAACAAGCTATAGGCTTCCTTGACTTTTTTTTTTTTTTGTCATTTGTGGGGCTTGAACTCAGTCTGGGAGCTGTCCCTGAGCTCTTCAGCTCAAGGTGAGCACTCTATCACTTGAGCCACAGTGACACTTCTGGTTTTCTAGTGGTTAATTGGAGATAAGAGTCTCATGGACTTTATTGCCTGGGCTGGCTTTGAACTGTGATCCTCAGATCCCAGCCTACTGATTAGCTAGGATTACAGCCTTGAGCCACCAGCTCCCAGTTGCTTCCTTGTGACTTTTAAGCCAAAAGTAATATTTGAACTCCAGATCACTTACAATGGATAACAAAGTCTTACATAAACCTGAAACATGCAGATGTAAATTATATACTTTATCAAGTCATTTTGTGTAGTAAGTTTTCCCACACATTTTAGAATTTAATTTATAAAAATGAAAACTAACTTGGAGAACCAGCTTTTTTTTTTTTTTTGAGACAGGGCCTTAGTTTGTAGATCAATCTGGTTTAAGATTAAGGGCCTGTGCCACCACATCTGGTTGAAAACTGGCTTGCATAAATTTGTACTAAGGACAGTAGGCTAAAATCTGAGGATTGCAGTTTGAAGCCAGTCCAAGCAGGAAAGTCTATGAGAGTCTTATCTCCAATTAGCCACCAAAAAGTGGGAAGTCTAGGTGTGGCTCCAGTTGAACAGTGACAGCCTTGAGTGGAAAAAGGGCAGGGCCAATGCCTAGGCCCTGAGTTCATCATCCAGTATTGGAGCACACATGCACACACTTGTGAAAGCGTACATACTTGTGCGCACGCACACACACACACACACACACATATACACACACACAAAGTTGTCATTTGTTCCAACTACTTTTATAAAACAAAATACCATTTTTTCCTAAACTGTAAATGTGTTCCTTGTGTGAAATTATGCTAAGTCTAGTAATTTGGATTTCATTATGCATAGGATAGCTGGTTCTGGAAAGATCTCTCTAAAATAGATAAGCAGTAGTAAATATTATATTACAATGACAAGAGTATGATTATTTTATTTTTATTTTTTGATAATTTTATTTTTTAAGTGGTTGTGAGTTTTGAACTCAGGGCATGGGTACTGTCTGGACTCTTGCTCAAGGCTAGTGCTCTATCACTTTGAGTCAAAGCATCATTTCCGGTTTTCTGGCAGTTAATTGGGAGATAAGAGTCTTAGGAACTTTCCTGCTGGGGCTAGTTTTGAACCATGATCTTCAAATGTTAGCTAGGATTACAGGCATGAGCCATCAGTGCCTGGCAAGACTATGATAATTGATGTATAAAATGTAGTATATAAACCTTTGTTTTCCTGATATGATTCTTTGTTTTGTTTTCCATATATGTGTTTGAGGCCTACACTCAACCTAGAACTTATGATCTTCCTGCCTCAGCCTCCTGAGTGCGGGGATATCATGTGTACACCACCATAACTATCCCTTGTTCATTTTTGTATTAGGGTTTTGGTGAGTGGGTTTATACTAAAGATTATGAGCTTTCTATTGAAAATTTGTCTTCTTTTGCAGCCTGCTGATCTAAAGAAGAGAATAGAATCTTTAATTGATCGGGACTACATGGAAAGAGATAAAGAAAATCCAAATCAGTACAACTATATTGCTTAGAATGTTGGCCTTGAAGCATTTGTTGTCATGCTGTAGCCAATGGATAAACTAATTTGTTGATCCTATATTATTTGACTTCTTTTATACTATGGATGACCAAAATGAAGCAATGTTAATGGAAATAATTGAGTGGACTTTCTCTCAGTGGTTAACATGCCCATTTTAAAGAGTAATACTTATCTTTAAAAGAATGTTGTTGAACTCTTTGCATGTTATTTAGTATGATGTGAAGAAGTCTCTTAAGAAAAGTTCTTGGTCTTTATGATTCCTCTTTGGAACTGGGGAAGAGATCCCTGTGGCTATTCAGTTGTGTTGGGGGGGGGGGTTCTTATACACCAATAACTATGAAGCAAAAGGTTTATTTGCTTAATATGTCATTTAAAGATACTTAAACTGCATGCAAACTTTATTTACTGTACAGAATTCTGGATGTATTTATCAAATAGAAAAACCACCTTGGACTTGATTGTTCACCTGTTTTGTGATTTCCCTTGAAAAATGAATTGTCATAGCTATTGATATTTTACTAGATAATATTCTGTTATGCTGAAAGCGATGTTTGTAAAGAAATCTTATTTGGAAACAGGTTTTGAAGTAAGGCAACAGTTGGTTTCATAATATCTTGTGTAGTTAATCTTAAAATTTTCTGTTTGTGAGTATGGGATATTTGTATATGGCTTAGCCCTCAGTTTACTGTGCTAATTAACTGGTACTTACAAAAATAGCTGGAACAGAAAAATTTTCTGACCAGGTCATACTAAAGAAACATCATAGGAGAGAAAAATCCAATTCTTCCTTTATATTATAAATGAATCTAATATGAAAATTGCAAAAGAGACCAAAATCAATGTTATTTGTAAGTTATTTCAGGAGCAAAAATTCATCAAGTAGTTTTCAGTATGCCTTAGTCTTTAAATGTCGTTTGGATAGTTCGTGTGTGTGTGTGTGTGTGTGTGTGTGTGTATGTGTGTGAGAGAGCACATATGTGTGAATGTGCATTTGTGTGCACACACGCATGCATACGTGCTAGTCCTGGGATTTGAACTCAGGGCTTGGGCGCTGTCCCTGAGCTTTTTTTGTTCAAGGGTAGCGCTCTACCACTTGAGCCACAGCTTCACTTCCAGATTTTTTTGTAGTTAATTGGAGATGAGTCTCATGGACTAGCTTCAAACTGCAATCCTCAGATCTCATTTTCCTGAGTAGCTAGGATTACAGGCATGAGCCACAGGCACTTGGCCTCTGTGTTTAACTTGGACCAATTGTAGTTTGCTATAGGCTTCCTAGGATCTAGCATTCCATTTTACTATATGTATTTTTTGGAAGCATCCCAACACTTCTCTTTGTTGATAAAGCTTTTACTACTATCCTGTTCTAGTTTCTTGAAACTCTAGAAATGAAGATCTTTCCTCTTTTGCCCACACAATTCCTATTTGGGAATCTCTGAATTCCTTCTAAAATTTCTTGAAGCGTTCTTATAGCCATTGGACACCTGCTTTTCAGGGACGTGTCCTTAGATTGTTCATACTTGTAAAATAACAAAAGTATTGTTCTTTAAATTAATAACATGAGTAAAAGGCTTCTCTATTGTCAGTGGGTTTCTGTTTTGCCTCCTTGTTTTTTCTTGAAGAAATTCATCATGGAGGAGAATCAGAAAAGTTTACTGTTTTTTTTTTCTTTTTCAATTGAAACTTCTTTAATGCTTTTCACAACAGCCTGTGTCCTTGCCTGTTAGGAGCCATTAGGAAGAATGCCTGGTCCTAACTTTCAGCTTGGGACTTATAACTCTTGTGTCTACTATTATTTTCTTGAATTTTCAGAAACCTGTGGCCAGCCATATATACATATGTATACATACATATATGTGTATGTATATCTATATTATATATCCATTTCTGTTTAATTGAAAAATCTTGCACACTTGTCCAACTATATATAGTATTTAGAATCCCTTCCTAATTCTTTTTGAGCAGCAATTGTCTAAATTTTCTTTGTTCCTCTGGTTTCCTTACGGGAGATCTTCTAGTAACGCTATGCAGCCATTTTGTTTACCTTCTCTCCATACTAGACCATCTGCAACAGTGTTCTGACTCATCCCTGATGGTCTCTGAGATATGTAGACTATTACAACAGAATTGTAACTTACTTTAAACATTTTTAATAGATTTATTCCTATTGGGAAGCTTAATGTCTTCTTCCTTATCTTGAAAGCGGGTCTCTTCCCTGAGGTTCTTAATTCTTTGAAAACTTGATACTGTTTCATCTGAAAAATTAGCAAGACAATTAAAAGAAGTTAAGGGGAGCTGTTTAAGAAATTGAAAAATTATTTGCAAACTATGTTGAATCATTGTGATTTTCAGTTGCTCTGTATTAATTGAAGTTTTGTGCTCTTTTCCCTGTGTACGTGGTGGTTCTATTTTTCTCCAATAAAACTTTTATTTAAAAAAGTTTCTGGGGAAGATCTTTAAAGATGAAATATTATGAAAAGGTTATAAAGCCACAGGACTTATATCTTCATAATGATTTTTTTTCATGAGTTCACATTTTACCATTTCATTAGTTTATTGATTTAAATTTTATGGTAATTGTGCAATAATGAAGAATTCTTAAGGTCAATAGTGCTTAAATGTTATTTTAGAAAATTCAGGTATATACACACATTGCTTTGTTCAAGTCCTCAAAGACAGTTAGTTTTAGAAAGTATGGAACTAATGTTGAGAAGATGATGTAAGATTGTTAGTTATGGCACTTGATCTGCCTGTTCTGTTAATAGTTTGTTTTCCAAGGCAAAATACTGTCACAGATGTTTCTTGAAATTTTTCTTAGTTCCTGAGTCTGCTTAATAGTCTTAATACAATGTCTTGCCATAGTCTTGAAATTCTTACTATATATGTTTAAGTTCAGGAAATCACATTATTCTTATTTAGGCATCTGTGTCTAAGGCCTTGAAAAGTTTATTAATCTTAACATCTATAACACTAGATATTTTTATTCATTTCAGTAACCACTCAGATTAATGCTGTGAATGGTAAGACTGTTATGAACATATTTATATAGAATTGCCTGAACAAATTGTTCACTGAAAAGAAAAGAGCTCGGCTAATGGAAATTGGCATACTTGAGCTTTGTAAGGTGATATCTTTGGCTAATGCTTCATTAATGAATGTTCTTCAGTTGCATGCAAAAATTTGCATTTGAATAGTGAACAGGTTCAATTCTTATACTTGTTCAATTATTTTTCTTTATTCCTTTGCCATTTTGAGTGGACACATGATCTACTTTGATATTTAATAATCCTTAGCAGTTATGTCTGTGTGGTTTAAAATCCTAATCTTTCCTGTGTTGAACCTTTGTTATTTGATAATGCATGTGAAATATACAGAATTAGACATATTAGGACTTAGTAGTTTTGCAAGCTATAAAACCAGCAAATCTTTTTATTTGTTCTCTAATTCTTATAGCAAGATCAAGATTTTATTTATTTATTTTTGGCGGTCATGGGGCTTGAACTCAGGGATTGGGCTCTTCCCTGAGCTCCTTTTGCCCAAGGCTAGTACTCTAGCTCTGAGCCACAGCACCAGTTCCAGTGTTCTGGTGGTTAATTGGAGATAAGAGTCTCATAGACTTTCCTTCCTGGGCTGGCTTTGAACCATGATCCTTAGGTCTCACTTAGATCTCAGCATCCTGAGTACTAGGATTACAAGCATGAGCCACCAGTGTCTGGATATCAAGATCTTTTAAACCTTAATTTTTTTTCCTGTAGTTAAAATTCACATGTAAAATTTAACATTCTAACCATGTTAAATTGTATAATTCATATTTTCAGTACATTCACATTATTGTACAATCATTATCATTAGACCTTTTTTTGGGTGCTGGTCCTGGACCTTGAACTCAGGAATTGGACACTGTCCCTGATTTTTGTTTTTTATTCCTCAAGACTAGTGCTCTACCTCTTGAACCACAGCGCCACTTTAGGCTTTTTGGTGGCCTGGACTGGATTCAAACATCTGTCCTCAGATGTCAGCTTCCTGAGTAGGTAGGATTAAAAGCACAAGCCACTAGTGCCCAGCTACTTTCAGACCAGTTTTATCAGCTCCAAATGAAACCTAGTATCCATTAGTTACTTCCAATCCCCCTTCACATAGCCTTTGAAAATGAACAGTCTGCTCTCTTTATGGATTTTTCTGTTCTGAATATTTTGCATCAGTGGAATCATGTAACCATTTCCATCTGATTTCTTTCACTTAGTGTGATACTGTCAAAGATTCATTTGTGTTTCTTTTTTGGGGGGAGGAGTCCAGTCGTGGGGCCTGAACTCTGCCTGGGCACTGTCCCTCAGCTCTTCAACTCAAGGCTAGCGCTCTACCACTTGAGCCACAGCACCACTTCTGGCTTTTTTCTTTTTGCTTATGTGGTGCTAAGGAATCGAACCTATGGCCTCATGCACTCTACCACTGAGCCACCTTCCCAGCCAAGTATCTGTACTCCTAAGTTATGCATAACAATACATGCCATAGTTTATCTAGTTGTTAAACATTTGGCTTGTGGCTATTGTAGATAGTACACCTGTGAAAATTGTGTACAAATATTTGTGTTTCCTCTTTTGTTTTTTGTTGGGCATGGGGCTTGATCTCTGGGCCTGGGTGCTGTCCCTGAGCTCTCCAGTTCAAGGCTAGTGCTCTACCACTTTGAGCCATAGTGCCACTTCCATTTTTTCTGGTGGTTAATTGGATATAAGAGTCTCACAGACTTCCTGCCCAGGCTGGCTTCCAACTGTGATCCTCAGATCTCAGCCTCCTGAGTAGCTAGGATTACAGGCATGAGCCTGTAAAACATTTCTTTCCCAATTTAAATATCTTTCAGGCTTATACCCACAGTGAAATTACTGAGATGAATGGTAAGTCTGTGCTTAAATTATCAAGGAACTACCACTAAACTTCCACAGCATGTGTACCACCAACAATATACAAGGGTTCCAATCTCTCCATATCTTTATCTCTTTTCCAATCTGTTTTTTTTGCACTGGTATTGGGCTTGAACTCAGGGCCTTGCATTCTTGCAGAGAAGATTGGCATTTTGTGGCTAGGAAAGTGGTTTAGTGGTAGATTGCTTGCCTAGCATGCATGAAGCCCTGGGTTTGATTCCTCAGTACCACATAAACAGAAAAAGCCAGAAGTGGTGGTGTGGCTCAGGTAGTAGAGTGCTAGCTTTGAGCAAAAGAAGCTCAGGGACAGAGCCCAGGCACTGAGTTCAAGCCCCAGGACTGGCAAAAAGTGGCTGGTAAATCTAAGCTCATTGGATTTTTAGATTTATCCTTTTGTTTTCTTCTAAGAGTTTTATTTCTTACATTTAGATGTTGGTTTCATTTGAATTAGTTTTGTATATAGCATGAGCTAAGTCTCCTTCATTCTCTTTCATATGGATATACAGTTATCTCAACACTATTTGTCAGACAATTTTCTCCACGAAGTGGTCATATCAACATTGTTTGAAACCACTGACAACAACAATTGTGTGAGTTTATTTCTGGATTGTCAGTTCTGCTACCCTTTATCTGTATATTAGTTATTATGCTAGTACTACACTTGATTAATATAGCTTTTTAATTTTAAAATTAGAATGTATGTGTATAGTAACTGCTCTTTTTCAAGGTGTGTGTGTGTGTGTGTGTGTGTGTGTGTGTGTGTGTGTGTCTGTGTGTCTGTGTCTGTGTCCGTGTATCTGTGTGTGTACTGGAGCTTGAACTCAGATCCTGTGCACTGTCTCAGCTTTTTTGCTCAAGGCTGGCACTGTACCACTTGAGCCACAACTCCATTTCCAGCTTTTTGATGATTACTTGGAGGAGGTAAGAGTCTTATGACTCATCTGTCTTATCTGGCTTTGAACCACAGTCCACAGATCTCAGCCTCATAAGTAGCTAGGGTTACAGACATGAAGCACCAACATACAGTGAAGATTATTATTATTATTTT